TGATCCTGCTGAGGAGAATACCTCACTACTACTCGTAATATCTGCCCAGATATCTGCCCCACCACAAGTATGGTTAGGCTTTCCAGGAGGTAGTTGATAACGATATCTGCATATTGATTCTGTTGATAAATATTAAAGTATGCCAAAAACAAAAACGTAGAACAAGTAAAACCAAAAAGGAAGGACTTACGGTTCACATACTCCACTAGTTTTATTAAGGTTTGCACGTGGACAATAAGAGCCCAATGGGCAAGCTTCAATAGTAAACAAAGAAAGGAAACAAATGAAAGAAATTAGAACATTCAAACACGTTATTTAACATGACTACATATATAAAAATTCTCTTTTGTTTGAAGATATCAAAGTCAATCACATTAGATAAAAGCAATTAATGATAGAATAGAAGCTATAGAACATAATCAATCGTACGTGAATGAAAAATACATAGAAAAAATGAAAGAAATCTAGTGTTGAGATGGTTGTTGTTGCATAAGCATAAATGCTTACGTATCATGCATGTGAGACCACGAGGGCAAAAGAAACCTTCACAACAAGGTAGGCATTCGATAGATCTAGTAGGTATATCCTTTTTGTTACTATTGATGTCTACTTTCTCGTTAGCTTTACAACCCCATCCAGGTTCGCAACCATCAACCCATGAGCTCAAGTTACAATTTTTATTGGGCTTCAAGAAGCTTTTGGTTCCTGACTTGTCTCCGTTTGCAAAACTTTGAGCATAAGCTTCCATTTCCCCTCCTGTGCATACGCGTTGTGTAATATCTCCTAAAGTGTCACAAAAAATAAAAACAAATTATCCCAAAAACTAATAAATAAATAAAAACATGAGAACAGAACGATGATTCATGGTGGTATCACAAAATAAACAATAAAAAACACACACACATCCATTTGCACATATGTTTTTTTTTACGTATGTTCATACACAATTAATCATCAATGTTGATATGATCATATTAAATCTTTCTATATGTGCTAATATTTTGTATATATGCATTTTCTTGTATATTTATCATTTTTCAATATAGAAATACCTTAAATTCGAGTCAGTTTTAATGATGGAAGTAATTAAGTACCTTTCATTTCTTGGGCACACATAGTCAAAAAGGTAAGATCTTTGGTGAAATTGAACGCCCCATTCCAATCAGCATCGCTAAAGGGAGAAAGAAAGAAAAACGATACCCATCAAGTATGCGATATATTTGAATCAACACTAGAAAACAAGAAAAAAGGTATTTTGTACATAGTTTGTGATTAAAATGTTAATGATGGGACTCACACATCAACTATGCAATAACCCAATTCTTTTTTTATTGCACTCTTGAACAAAGTTGTATAATTTGACAAGCTGCGATAAATTTCTTGGGCAAATATTTCAAAGCCAGCACCACTACTACTCTGACAAAAAACTGGCCGTGGCCCAACAATAATGCTTATTAATACAACAACTACAACAAAAGGAACCTTCCCTGGCTTGTTAGGAAGATTCATCGCCATATTTATTTATTTACAATATGGAAGGTTTATTGATATCAACACCAAGGGAAAAAATTATAGGTACAACGGGTTGGATTCATGATGAAAATGGATTGACGAGCAAATAAGCATAATGACAAAGAGAGGATGAGATGACAATGAAGGATTTGGAACCAGATAGTAAATGGAGAGAGAGAAAGAAAGCGCAAGAGTTGGGTATTCGCATTTTCCAATGAAGAAATGGTGACAAAGAGGAAGAGTTGGCGATGTATAGGGAAACAACATTTACTTATACTACTATCAAAAAATTGAATAAATTTTACATAGCCTATAAATCAACGAATGAAAATTAATGTATACAAAACATGTGCACTGGTACTAGGATTATGATGCAATTAGGACAAGTGTCACACCCACAACTTAGTTTCTCTAAATGACATATGACATATTTGCAACTTCACAGTGCATCATTTTTTTTTTCTTTGATACAAGCATTTTAACATTTTCATTGAACCTTCTTAGATTTTTTTTTTTTTTTTTTTTTTTTGCAATGCGCGACTTATATATACATTTTATTTTTATATGACTATTAAATTTGTAGATTAAATGTTAATATTTTATGCAAAGTTTTATTCGTGCATGATTCAGTTTTCTTTAATTTGAAGTTTTTGTTCACATAGAATGTAAATAATAACTATCATGTAAAAGTTTTCATTTCATATATCATATCATTTAAATAATAATATGATTTCATTTAAATTTTCAATTGTATGTAAAAGTTATTATTCTTGTGATTTAAATATTAGTGCCTTTTGTATAAATTTTACATTTGCATGTAAAAAAAATCTCGTTATTTTAATACACTGTTATAATTCTCGTTATTTTATATTATTTCATATAAATATTTTATCTCTGTTATTATACATATATTCATCACTATAATTTAGAAATTAATATAATTAAAGAAAAAAATAATCTTAGAGATATAAATATTTAGTATTATAACTTAACTATTAATATATTTTAATTTAAAAACCTTATATATATATATATATATATATAAAGTGTTGGAAGCACACTCTTTAAATACACTACTTTTTCAAATATACTATCATTATTGTTAGAATCTATTTCACATATGATTGTTATACATAATTTTGATGTTGATTTTTAATGAAATTTAATAATATATATTATGTGTCACTGTAGTATATATTTTTTAACAATATACTAACATATATTATATCTATGGTGTAGAAAAAGTTAATTTTTAGTAAGACATATTATATTACTATAAGGTGTATATTAGTACATGATAATTATTTTTGTATTATATATTAAAGATAATATATAAGTATTAAGGTACTATTTAATTGATGTTACTAATAAAATATTTTAATAATTTATAAATAAACTAATGTTTTATGATAAATTATTATTTATTTTATTTAATTCATATGAGGCTAAAATATGAATATTAAATATATAAATTTTAAATAAATATATTTATGATATTTATTGATGTATACGTGCACGTGTGTATATATATATTACACATATATAATTTAGTTTAAAGATTCTATTTTATTTATTATTTTAATATATTAATTTAAATTTAATTATATATCTTATAATTTTTTAATCTAGTGAATGAATGACAATGAAATAAAAGTATTTTAAAATAAAATTTAATTTAAAATATATATTTTTAGTAATAATTAAATTAAAATTATATTTTAAAATTTTATAATATTTTTTTTAACAATGTTAAGTTAATACTCTAAATTAATATAATAGGAGAGTAATAACACACTACAACAAAATATATTTTTTGTGACATTTAATATGATTTTTATTGGCAATAAAAATTGTTACAAATTTTTTTACTGGCATTTTCACATTATCTATTGTATGCAGTGTCGCTAAAACATTTAGCGACAATTATTCAAAATGCTGGTAAAAACCCTTATAATGGTCGAAAAAGTGTTATATATATATATATATATATTATTTTCTGATCAATAGTCGACTCCCTTAAGTTTAAGGATTATTGAGTTTGATAATAGTGAGTAATCTCATACTAATTTAGAATAATAAGTTGTAACTCAATCTTACATAACAAATTTGTAAGGTGAGCGTTATTATTCATTTATATACTCTTTAATTATTTTATTTTTAGTCGATGTGAGACTAAAGTTTTTTTTAATAAATAATTGTCGCTAATAATAAATTTTAGTGTGATATAAATATAGTTTTAGTGACCATTATATATTAGTCACTAATACTTTTATTAAATAATAAAATAAAGACAATTAATTTATTGCCGGTAAATAATTGTCGGTAAAAATGAATTTTGTTGTAGTGACATAATATTTATATCTCTAAGAAGTAAAAGTGTAATTTATTTGATTTAATGTATGAAAGATGAATAATGTAATATTTGTATTTATATATCTCTCAAAGAAGAGAATGAGAGTATAATTTATATTAACTTTATTTAGTTAAGTATTTAAGTGAATTAAATTATATATTTTATTATTAAAAAAAAGTATAGTGTAATGTTTTTTTTCTCTGAGGGTGGCATAATTTACTCGGAAAAAGATATTAAAACATGATCATGAATTTTCTATTATTAAAAGTGTGTTTGATTTATTGTTTACTTTTCATGAAGCAGGGAATTGACTTAACTATACTTTTATTTCATGTTGAGTTAGATAACATTTCAATCAAAATTTCCTTTGATTCTAAAGCTTTGGATTTAAACTTTTACATTGAACGTTAATTGAAAACAATAACCGCATGGTTTATATTTAAATTAAAATACACGTTACTTTAATGTTGGGACAATAGTTTCTCTAAATTAGCGATTATTCTAATTGCAGTCATTATTTTAATACTAACGGGAAGCAATCCATGTTCAGTAGAATTTAATTAAAATTGTATTTTTATGTGTATACGTTTTTCAGATTTATTACTTTTAATTTATAAAATTAGCATCACATTTTTATAAAAAAAAAAATGTAATGATAATAATACTAGTAACATACAATTCATTTAAATATATTTAATGAAATAAATAATATTAATATTATATTATAAAATTCATACTCTTAATAATTATATATTTGAAAATAATTTTAATTACAATTATCGAAACAAGTTTCATTTCGAAAAAAAAAAAAAAAAAACTTTTAAAATAAAAAAAAAAAAAAAAAAAAAGTAATCAAACATAAATCAAGTTTCACTAAATCTATACTTTTAACTAAGTTTCCATTTGCAAAATTAAGTTCATTTTATAAACTGCAATTCAAACACTTACTAATATCCCAATCGAACAGCACAACCTATTCAACAATGAAGACAACCATGGATTTTCCACAATTTAACACCCTAAATCAACAATCTATGCTAATACCATGGACCGATACAATAGATAACTAGAAAACAATTAAGACAAACATGAAACACTTAAAATAAAATCTTTTATTTCATCCAAATCTTTTACTTCAAGCCAACCTAGTCATCAACGATTGGATCATTGCAATCTCATTAGCAGAAAACTCCAGATTGTAGTTTGCCAGCAAATCAAAATCCAATGGCAGAGAGTCTTGTTGAGACTTATTGCTGGCATTATTGCCAAGCGAATCCTCACGTGGACCAGCAATGTTTTTGCCCTCAGAGGATGATGTGGATGCCACCATGGAAGATGATAGTGATACACCATTACCAGTGGCAGCAATGATGGCGGGTTCAGCCTGACGTAGCAGCCACCCAATGGTTTCACCATGAGTCTTGTAACCAAGCTCACGTGTGAGTTGGAAGACACGTGCAGCGCACAAAGGTGGCAACAAAACACGTCTCTCTCTTCCATTAACCTTGGTGTGACGGTCTTTGTTGCCTTTCTGAGGTGGTAGCTTTGTGCTTGTGGCTTTAAGAGGGGAAGGGGTCTCAGAATTCATGGCTTTTCCATGGTTCACAAGAGAATTAGGATTACAAGATGTGGACTGAACCATCTTTCACTGATCAACACCAAGCACGATTTGTTTATAGACTCTTTTTTGTAACAATATTTATAGGCCCTTGCTTTGTAACGTTGTTTAATAAGACAAAACTAGAGTTTAGTGTTCACGTATATTGTTTTGGTATTCGTTGCAATGCTTTGGATAAACTTCTGTAAAATTACCTTTAAAGAAAATATAGGAAGAAAAAATTAAATAAATTTATTTAAAAGTTAAAATTAACTTATATATAAACTATTTTATATTTAGTTTTTTCAAAAAAAATTAACTCATGTATAAAATAGTTTTAACATACGAAAAAATTTACTTTAATTTTTCTTCTTATTTAGAAGTATTTTTAGAGAAATTTATTCAAATAGGTATTTACGCAAATTTGGATTTTAGGACAACGGTTCATATAATAAAATTTGGTACTAAATATCAACGACGATAATATGTACAATAACTTATACAACAACTTATATAATTAAGAGAAAAAAAATTAAAAAAATATGTTTAACAAGACATTTAAATAGTTTATAGACTTCTTTAAATAACTTATAAATTAATTTAACTAAAATAAATTTATTTATACAAGTTTATTTTATAAGCTTATCATTTTGATAAGCTAATTGAAGTAGTTTATAGTTTATAAACTCTTACTTTTTTTACTTTTTTATTTTTATTAATTTACTTGAAATCATTTTTTACTCTTTTCAAATTAGAACCTATTTTGTTTGCATGTTATTCTCTCACTCTCATTATTAAATAAATAAATATATCACTTTATTTTAATTAACTAGCTTATCAATCGATTTCATCAAATAATTTCAATTTAATTAGTTAATTTAATTATACGCTTCTAACTTTTACAACTTCTGACTTATAATTTATAAATTTTCGATAAGTTTATAAACTAATTTTATTAAACACACCAATGTTCATAAGATAGAAGATGATCACGATATTTTTGCCATCAAATTAAGTTTTAATTGAAGAGGTATGTGCTTGATTTGAGCTTGAATTTCTGGCTTAATGACTAAATATGGTAAAACCATTAATGCCTCCTCCCATAGTGCCAAAAAGGAAAAAATAAAGCCTTAGCAAAATAAGCATTTTGAGTGTTATTAGTTCAAAGGTTTGAAATTGACTCCAATCTTTGTTGTTATTCAAAGGAGAGCATGTGCATTTTTAGAAGCCAAGTAATATTAACTCTCTTTTTTGTGTTGTTAAATATGCAAGTGCAGAAGTCATGATGACAATTAAGTTGTAGTCAGATTTATAGCACTTGAGTTTAGACAAGTTGCTATAGTACCCATGAAAATTGAAGAGTTTTGGTACATCAAATTATGTGAATAAATTAATTTTAAAAAATAAATTCAAAATAAAATAAATTTTAAATTAAAAATTTGTATAAGATGAATCAATCAAAAAGACTAATTAAAAAAAAATCAAAAGGTCAATTTTCATAGCAAATTTTGTTTATATGTGATAAAATTAAAAAATTAAAAACAAAAAATTATAATAATATTATAAAAACATTAAAATAAAAAAAAACAAATAATACAACTAAAAAACTAATTTATACTATAAATTCAAAAAAATTATCATCAAAGAAAAACTAAAACATATTAATAAAATATTAATATTAAACTTTTTAATTATAATAAATGCTACATTAAGATATAAATTAAAAAATAAAAGTAATATAAAGATATAAAAAAATTATACAGATAAATTATTAAAAATATTAAAATTAAAATAAAAATAAAAGAAGTAAGTACAATAAAAAAATAAAAATAAAATGACTGTTCCAGTACCCCACAATTATAATGGGTACCGTAGAATTTCTCTTAAATGTTTTCAAGCATAATGCTTAGTTGTCTTCTATGCGAGATACAACTTAAGAGTTTTAAACGTTTCCACTCCTTAATTATCCTAGTTGTCTTTTCTTAAGGGCACGTAAAAAACCAAGTTGACAACTCATAATCATACATATAAGTAGGGAAAACTTGTAAGAACTCACAAAAAGACATGCTTCATAGTCTACTCTTGCTCTCATCATTTTCAAGTAGAAACGTAAATCTTGTCATCGATAACCTCTCTTCATGATTGTTACAAAAAAAATGAAAATGGCAAGATATATAAATAAATAAATAAATAAAAGGAAAAAATGTAAAGGCCGTGACTCATACTTGTGTTCAAATTTAACAATTTTTATTAGAGAAATGATACATATACAATAATTTGTAGAATAATTTGTATAACATCATTTTTTTTCTATTATTCACTATCATTAATAAATATAACAAATGATGTAATGAAGAGATAAACATAAAAATAATGATGCATCTAGTATTTTATTTGACTTTTGTTTACACACATTTATGTATGTTGAGAAAGTTCTTTTTATTTTTATATAGTTCATTAATTAAGATTAGAGTTTTTTTCATAACTTATGCCGACATTTTAATATTTTTTATAATTATTTTATTAGTATGAAGTATCACAAGTTCAATTAATAATATTGTTTGGAAAATTGAATTGATTGATTCGACTAATTCAATAAAAAATCATCCTAAGAATGATTTATTAACTAACAAAAATTGAGACATCCTAAAATCAAGGCAAATATATGGAAATCTATCAAGAATTGGTTCAAAATCAATGTAGAAAATTGATTTATAAGTCGGTAT